AACATGATTTTTGAATTGGTGTAAACTAAACACCTTATTTATGAATTTTTCCCATGTTTAAAAACGCCCTAATCACTTACCACATATTTTTATTTTTATTTTAAATTTAAATCGTTTATAAATACTTTTCAAACATGCTGTAGTCGACTATATTTAATTTTGAGATTTTAGTTTAAAGGATCAACCTTGTCATATTTAATTGATGTGAAATTTTTTCTGAACATGTCTGATTTAACGGTTGTTCATTTGGGACATTAATTTTGAAATTTAATTATTTCTTTTTTTGAACATGAAATTTAACTGTTTCTTTTAAGTTGTGGATTGATAGAATAGCTCATTGAGCTATATTGAATCTTAAAGTTTTATTTAAAATGTCATCGTTATGCCCCTATTTGACCTTATTTTTGGGGGAAAAATATACTTTGTAATAGTGATTTTTGCAGAATGTGTAGCCCATATTTGATAGAAACTAAAATCGAGACTTTCATTCATATCAAAGTCAACAATTAATTTTAATCACATTTTATGTGAGCCACAACTTTTCAACCACATATTTCATCAATTTCTATCAAAATCTACTAAATATTTTATTTTAATCCCCACCAAACATAGGTGTAATTATAAAATATGGGAAAAAATTGGGTTTACTGTAAAATTATTTTATAGAAAAATGCGTGACTGAAAATGAATTTGGAAAAAAATGGGACTACAAGGGCTATGTAAATAACTACTTGAAAGATTTCATAATGTGCATTATTTTGAGACTCGAATTTAATCTAAAGAAGCTAGCTATACATAAAATTTGAATAAAATCTCTTTCGTCCTTAAAATGTGGGCCAAACATAAAATTTGAATAAAATCTCTTTCGTCCTTAAAATGTGGGCCAACACGTCAAAACGTGAATCATTTTGAATTCTATAGAAAGTAGCTAGTGGCTAGTACTTTTTCATTATTTTAACTGTTTTATTTAAGTTGTGGATTGATAGAATAGCTCGTTGAGCTATATTGAATCGTAAAATTTTATTTAAAATGTCAACGTTATGCCCCAATTTGACCCTATTTTTTTAATCAACAATTAATTTTAATCACACGTTATATAAAACACAACTTTTCAACCACATATTTCATTAATTTCTATCAAAATCTACTAAAAATCTGATTTTAATCCCCATCAAACATATGTGTAGTTATTAAATAAGAAAAAAAATTAGGTTTATTGTAAAATTATCTTATGAAAGAATGTGTGATTAAAGATGAGTTTCGAAAAAAATGGGGCTACATGAGCTATGTAAATAAGAACAGAAAATATTTAATAATGTGCATTATTTTGAGACTGGAATTTAGTGTGTTTGGTATGGATTTTTTAGAGGAAGAATTGATTTTGAATAGTGATATGATGGGAAATGTGTAGTTGAAAAAGAAGATAAGATTATTGATGTGATAGAAAATATTATTTTATTGAAGAACGTGTCGTTGAAAATGAGAATTGATTTACTGTTGAAAATGAGAATTTTTACCAAACATAGCCTGAATCAACTTTAATTCAATTTTCTGCTTATCCATGTGAAGAGTGACAATATTTATGTACGATAATTAAGTTGAGCGTCATACAAGAACAGAAAGATTCATATGCATAGGCTAATTAGATGACGTAGATGCTAATCTCTTAACCTGTGATTTATAATATCCTTTAGCCGTATTTTTTATAATTTGGGGTGTTCGAGCTAGTAAAATAAATGATTTAAGATTGTGATGATTCTGAACATGTTGAAAAAGATTGTGTGGAGTGTCTTTGACTTTCTAGTATGAACTTGGTTATGACCAAATGGTAAGGATCTGACACCTGTAAATTTTTCTTTTCTTTTATAGAAAATAATTATCGTAGAGTGGTGTAAGAAATTGATAATGGAAACTAAACTTTAGAATTACATAAGTTTAGGGCATGTATGACTCAAGTGAAGAAAGGAAATAATTAACCGTTGAGGTTGAGAATTTAACCAACTTGTGAATTTACGGCTTACACTTAATTCTTCACACAAACACCCATTTTACATAGGATACGTGGAAGTTTAGCTTTTGCATTGTGACTCTGAAACCGTTCATAAATGTGATATAATGTTCTCAATCCTGATGTAAAACGACAAGGTATCTAATCAAAAATTTCTTTGCATGTTTGTGTGTTTATTAAGTTAGGTTACGATTTTTTTTAGGACAAACAAATGTTTAAGTTTGGGTTATTAGATAAGTGTATTTTATACACTTATTTGAGCTCTAAAATATAGACATTTCATAGTTCTTAACTTCTCTTAACGAAATTATAGCCTAATTTAATGTATAATATGTTATTAGGTGAAACTCGATGAATAAAAATGGAATTGAAAAAAAGAATCAAAAAATGGCAAGATCTACAGTTTGGGGACTAAAGAATGAATACTCAAATTCGAATTAAGAAGATCTTCTACCAAAGTTGTAGTCCTTCGAGTTATGTTTCCAACGCAACTTGAATCACCTCAATCGGACATCGGAAGGAAAAGTTATGACAAAAATACTGAAGCAGACGCAAAGTGGACAGAAACTCAGCGCCCAAGCGCTACCTTTTCAGCGCTCAAGCGCTACACCATAGCTTGGAAATAGAAAATCAACAGAGATGTAGCGCTCAAGCGCTACCTAAGTGGCGCTCAAACGCTACCTGGGAAGAAATCGCGGCGCTCAAGCCCTGCCTTCTAGCGCCTAGGGCGCAGTGCCATAAAATTCTAGGTTTTATTGTTTAGGCTGCGCAAAGCCTATTAAAAAGACTCCAAATTGGCCAAGGACTTGAGGAAAGTATAAATAGAGATGAAGAGTCACGAATTAGGGTTCCCACCTTAGTTCCAAACATTGAGAAAGAGTCCA